TATTTAACCAACTCATAGATTGCCTGGCAGTCATGAGATGATAAAACATTACCCTTATTTGATTACCCTTATATATGTCTCGAATGATGTGTGCCCCTTTATTTCTTTATAAGGAAGAATTATGTACATACAAATTCATTCATTCATTCTCTCACTCTAACAATATTTTCTGGACAGTCCCTAAAGTAACAGCACTAACGCATACACAACAAGGAATGAAGAAGTAAAAGATTTTATCTCTTTCCTCTACACATTCACAATCAATCTAAGCAGATATTATATTGAACACTTACTGTGAGTCATGAGTGGAGATTATCAAAGAACCCACTTTAACAATGTTAAATATTAATTATATTCCAGGTGTCTGCCCTGTCATGCTGTCATGAGGCATATGGTGTAAGTGTAATCGTAGGGATACCTCCTGGTTCCCAAGAGCTCCAGATGAACCCGATGTTGCTGTTGACTGGACGCACCTGGAAAGGAGCAGTTTTTGGTGGTATGTAGTTAGGCTTGAGGATCAAATTCTTATAATGTTGGAATTTGTTCACTTTTACACATGACAAGGCCAGATTTTGAAAAGCAATGTTGTTAAAAATAAATTAAAATTCCTGTTGTAGCTACAAGCTCCAAATAAACTATTGTTGTGGTTGTTAGGTGAAATCGAGTTCATTTTTATTCACAGCAGCCCCATGTGACAGAGCAGAACGGCCCCCATAAGTTTTCTAGGCTGTAATCGTTATGGGAGCAGATCACCAGGTCTTTCTTCCACAGAGCCACTAGGTGGATTCAAACCACCAACCTTTCGGTGAGCAGCCAAGTGCTTAACCATGGCACAACCAGGGTTCCTTGCCAAATCAACTATATGTGGAAATAATAAATGCAGGCCGAATATTCCCGGAATGTGTTTCTCGTTTCCCCATAAACTAACAGGGACCTTTCAGCACCTCCTCTTTTTATACCTGTGACTGTATGACACTAAAACACCCACTACCAACCAAACCAGTTGCCCTTGAATTGATTCCAATTCATGGTGACCCCATGTGCGTCAGAGCAGAACTGTGCTCCGTAAGGTTTTCAACGGCTGATTTTTCACACATAGACCACAAGGCCTTTCTTCCAAGGCACCTCTGAGTGAACTCGAACCGCCAACATTTGGATAGCAGTCAAGCATATTAACAGTTTGCGCCAATCAAGGACTCCGAAAGACCCAGTAGAACCCAGGAAACCCATAGCAATACTTCATACTGCACTATGCCCACATTTAGACAACTGCTAAATTTGATCCTTGACTTTGGATATAATCATCTGTACTATAATTTCTCTATGAGGGAACTAATAACTAAGGACCCTAGTTTATTGGGGGTTGGGGGGTGTCAGGGAGGAAGATTAAAAAAAATTCAAATTACTACAAACAGATATTGAGGCACACTATCTATATTACTGATCCAGTAATAGAAATAGCACTCTGTGGAATGCAGCATTTTTTATAAACATTCATTTTAACTCTATTTAGAAAGTCTCCTCCATAATTCTCTTACTTCCCCCTGGCTGAATCTAACAATGATGTTTTCTTCTTTTCAGGCTACAAAAGTAAAGATTCC